TAATGCTGCATTTTGGCTGGGTCTGGGTTGGTCTTGTGGTTCCAGATGACATCAGGGGAGAAATGTTTCTCCAGGACATGACACAAGAGATGAACAACAATGGACTGTGTATCTCATTTGCAGAAAGGATTTCAGAGTTTCCTGTTAAGGATACAGTTAACAGGCAACTCTTTATTGAAAGACTTACAACTACAAACGTCAATATTGCCTTTGGTGACATGTACTCTCTTCTCAGATTTGTATATAACATCTATTGCAGCACTCCATTTGGTAATATCTGGGTCACAACTTCTGACTGGGGTGTAACTACATTGCCCTTTGAACAAAGTCTAAGTTACACATACTTTGGTGGAGGATTATCTTTTTCTTTCCACAAGGAAGAGATTCCTGGTTTTAAAGATTTTCTTAGAACTGTTCAGCCTGCAAAATACCCTCATGATATCTTTATCCAGGATGTGTGTCCACATTATTTGAATGTCCGTATTTGGATCAGCATGGAATCAAGACACTGGGTCGATGTGAACAAAATGGTACCCTGGAAACTCGGACTCTGCATGTTTGGGATATGAGTACTTTACCCCAGAGCTACAATGTTTATGCTGCTGTGTATGTCATTGCCCAGGCACTTCACAAAGTGCTCTCACTCACGGTGGAAGACGAATCACTTGACAAAGATGCATATGTGACTCCTCATCCATGGCACGTAACCAAAGCTCATTCTTCTGTACTCCCAGACCAATGATCCATGCATTGTCCTTTCTGTTTCTTGACTCATTTTTTAAGAATTCTCCTTAAATTAGAACGAAATCAGACTAAATTGTGTAGCATGGGATAATTAACATCACTAGCTTTCCCTGTGCTCTTTTCATTAAGTCCCTTTATCTCTCCAACTACAGTCTTTTTCAAAGATGTACAAATTTTCCCCTGATTTTTGTCTTCAAATAATTTGCTGTTGAATTCCTGAAGAGTTAGATAAGGCTTGTCCTCAAATTACTTCTAAATTATTTTCAGGAATGTGTCTCCTTTTACTGTGGCAATTAAAAGATTAGTGTAAATATTGCAGTTTATTGAAGACTGCTAAAGGATTGCTCCTTTATTATACACATTCTTAATCATTTCAACATCCCATGTTTTTGGCCTTTGTAGCTTTTAAAATTTAGTTGTTCATCTCAATCTATCCTTTTTCATATTACTGAGGACCTGCATTGTATATTCTAGTTCTCCTATTAGCAGATAGTCAATGGAGGTGATTTTCTCAGAGACAATTAACTAAATTAAGTTTGTCATGTATTCTTCTAGAGATAACTCAGACCTATGCACAAAGAGACAAGCATAGGCAGGTAGTCATTTTTTTATAAAAAAAATCTACTTTATATTATAATTACATCCTATGTGAGTGCATAAATTAGTACGGCATAGGGATAATTCATTTTCATTTATTTTGTGGTTTCAAATTTTACTACAGTTAGGATTATTTAACCAGTGCTTCACTGATTTTTCAAATACAGAACATTTTCATATGTTCATTTTTCATTTGGCTCTTTTGCCCATTTTTATGGATTTTGGCTATGTTTTTCATTTGTAAAAGTTTAAATAAAGTTTGAACACATTCTTTCAGTTTTATGTATAGAGAACATCTTCACCTCTGTGAGCTGACTTCTCATTTTCTGTTTTGGTTAAGGAAAGTTCTCTAACTTTCTATTTTTCTACTATATAGTATATGCTTTCAGCCCTCTGAGAAGTCTGCTTACATCAAAGTCGAGAAGGTTATTGTTTAGCTCTTTAGCTTTCTTCTAAATATTTTGTTACTTAAATTTCAAATTTAGACAGGAATATATTTGAAACTGATTTTTGTGCATGCTGTACAATAGTAAGATCAAGATGATTTTTCTCCAGTGTGGAAAACCAAATTAGCCCAACAAAATTTATGGAAGAAGATACACTTTCTCTAATGCTTTGTATTATCACCTTTAAATTAGGTATTTGTGTACATAGTTCGCTGTTTTGCAGTTTTATACTGTGAATTACCACAATATTATTATGTTTATGTATTTTCTTTTCAATTTAGTTTCTATATTATTAATATTATATATTTTACATGTATATTTAATTCATGTTTAAATTGATTTTAATTTTTATGTTAATTTTTAATTTGTTTTCTTAAAAATATAATTGATATTTTACATTTTTTTCTTGTAGCTAAAGGTTTTTCCATAGATGCTTGCTGCTTTTCTATGTGCATACTGATATAACCCAAAAACATAGGATTTTATTAATTGCTAGTCTTATGGTTTTACTGCATTTCTTTTATTCTTTGTTAGACTAGCAAGGCCCTCTTCTTAGCATTGTATGCAAATGGCCAGAGCTGGTACACATACTTGTTCACAACCTTAAGAAAAAAATTCAGAATTTTACCATTTTGATTATTTTTGCTTCTGTAAGCAATGGTTAATAGTATTTATTACGGGATGGAAGCTGTTTTATATGTGCCAAATTTTCTAAGACTTTAAAACTTAATGTTTGCCAAATTTGACACCTACTTTCTAAATCTAGTATGACTGCCATATCATTTTCATATTTTTCCTTTATGAACAACTTGAGATGTGTTAATTTCAAAATGTTAAAATATACTTTACTATGATGGATTTATTTTGTTTTGTTAGATTCTATTTTTCTGTGCCACTGAGAAAAATTAATGTGTACTTTGTTCTTTTTTCCAGCTTTATTGAGATATGCTTGACTAAATTTTACTTATTCTAGGCAAACAACATATTTTTCTACAGTATACCCCTATGAAGTTGCGGTTCACAGTTCGTGGCCTCAGTCATTCCAGTATTTTCCTATACCCTAATTGTCCACAGAAACTCCCCACAATTTCACGGAAACAGCAAATATCCTCGGCAATTGCTTTTGATAGGAAGTTTGCAAGTAGCCAGTCCGAGAGCCTTATGCAGTTTTCCTTACTGCTCATTGGCTGCTGCCCTGTATCCCATTTCAGGCAGATGCACCTGCCCTTCTGCTTGGTAACAGGTTGATGAAGCCTGTAATTATCCAGTGTCCTCGGCTTCATTCTTCTTAAAACCATGTGATCACCAAGATGCCACAACAGTGTCCTGTAGCACCTAAGGCTTTACTAATACACTGTTTTAGTAAATTAAATTACACAAGTGTAAGAGTCAGCATATTTAAGGTTTAAACTGTAAAAATAGGCACTTTTTTGACCATATCTGAAACTGGCAGTTTTTCCAAATTCCAGAATGCTCCTGGAACATAACCCCCACAAATTTTAAGTGTTTTTTTATGCAGACATTGTGAAATAATTATTAAAACTAAGCTAATTGGTATGTCTATAACCTCCTGTAGTTTCCTGTGTGTGTGTATTCCTTCTTAACAAATTTTAAATGCACAATATGCAACTATTAATTGTAGTCAGTAAACTGTATATTAGGTCTGTAGTACTAATTCATTTTATAACTGAAAATTTCCTCCCTTTGACTAACATTGCCCCATTTCTAGCATCACTCAATCCCTGAGTTCATAAGTTATGTCACAAATCCTAGGGTTTTCTTCTTTTTTCAGTGTAAATAATATTCCTTTTCAAACACATTTTTAAAAATCTATTCATTTGGTAAGTGACACGTTGTTTCCATATCTTGGCTCTTGTGCACAACACTGGCCTTATAAAATGTATTTGAAAGTTTTTTCTCTTCAGTTCAATTTTCTTGGAAAAATATGAGAAATATTAGTAATCATTATTTCTAAAGATTTGTGGAATTCACCCATGAAACCATTTGGTCCTGGGCTGTCTCTCTTGGGAGACTTCTGATTTTGGGTTCCTTTGCTTTGTCTGTTACTGATATATTCAGATTTGTTACACTTGATGACTTAGTCTTGGTAATGTGATGGTTCTACTAATTTATCAGTGTTTTCTAGGTTAATTAATTTGTTCATAGTAGTTTTGTAAAATTCATTGTACTTATGTTGCATTACAGATTATTTTTGCTTTCATGTAATTTTTTATTTTTATTAGTACATATTTGCAGTATATAATGATTACATTCACAGTAGGCACTTAGTATAAGTACATGTGTCTTAATTCCTTTCACTTTCTTCTGCATTCATTTTTTGTTTTTAAATTTTCATCTTCTCTATTTCCTCCTTTTTATAGCTAAAAGTTTATTTTCTCTTTAAATCATCTCACTTGCATTTATCATTTTTATTGTTTTCTATTGTTCATATCATATACTTGTGGTCTGATACTCCTTTTCAACTTCTAACTTCCTATATAGTCTATTTTTTATTTTAAAAAGAATAAAAAACAATAACAAAATAACAACAACATAGACAAAAACAAGACAGCACAAAAGCAATAAAAATGAAACAGGGTTTCAAAACAAAATTATCACAGTTAACAGTGGTTATTTTAGTACATATTGTTACTTCAGCAAAGTTGCTCAAATTACCAGACATAAGAATGCGATTGATCAAACCATTAAAGAGAATAAAAAGTAATAATAAAACATTAGAAATGATACAAGATGGCAGGAATTCACCAATGGTTGTTATATTGCATATTGTTGTCTTCAAATGAGTTGTTCAGATTACCAGATATAAGCATGTGGAAAATATTAATCCCAGTATAAAACTTGATAGATAATGTAATAAATGCAATTTGTTAGGACATATAAAGGAAAAGAGGGCTGTTCAAGGAATTTTTTATTTTCACTTCTGTGCATTGCTTCCTAAATTTCTGACAATTAGTTTTCACTTTTAGCTCCATCCTTTCTTGCAAAAATCCCAACTTGAAAGAAGTAGTGGTAAGCAGAAAATTTCCAGTGAGAGAATTTCAAAGACCAAGCTTGACATCTTTAATTATCAACCCTTCCTGAATGGTACTAAAGCTCAAGTGAAAGTTGGAGAGTTCATCTTTGAATCCCACAAGGCTCCACGTTTTTCCTTAAATGATCAACTGATAATGTGGGGTGAACACCACATTGAGGTAAGCCTCTCTTAAGTAATCCCCATGATGATTGTGCTCAGAGCAAAGTGTGTTCAGAGCACTGGGGTTAGGTAAGCTTTTGAAGTCCATGAGACAAAGATCACCTTATTTACTTCTTTACTGTAGTGCCAGGTGTTTGAACTTCCGGGCATCAGAATTATCATGCAAACTACTGCTTCCTTTTGAGTTAATTGAACACATTGCCTTTCTTATGATGATCAAATAGTTGCCTACCTGATTAGAAAAATTAACCCAGGCCATAGTCTAGGTTAAAAAGATCACAGAAAGTTTGTCATAGCTGATAATGAGAATGAATGACTTAAATGAGAGAAATGAGATATTTCTGGAAGTAAAAATCACCACAATTGGACCCAATGTTTATCAATTGAACCCAATGTTTATCAATTGAATTTAATGAGTATGAGCAAATCTACTTACTTTAACCCTCTTTATGACTTCTATTCTCCCAAAATATTTACCAAAATTTTATTATCTCTTGGGTAACTTGTTAGGTTGCAAAAAAGTTCTGCTGAAACCTCCGCCTGTATGCTGCTACTGAATCTTGTTTATGAGTAGCTTTTCCTCTTCTCATACCTCTTGCACAGACTCCCTTTGCTATTTGCAGCCCAAGTTGCCAACTTGGATTCAGAAAAACTGCTCTGGAAGGAAAATCATTCTGTTGCTTTGACTGTATTCCCTGCCCCAATGGGGAGATTGCAAATAAAATGGGTAAGCATTTCTGAAAATTATTCAGAATGTGGAGCTAATCCATTGTGACATGGCTCCATAATGCCTGAGGATAGGCTTACAGTTAACTCCCAATAGTCTAATTTCTTCAGCTTATTTCTTATTTCCATTTCTTGGACAAGATGTTACTCATTCTATCTTTGAACTCCTGGGCTCAAGTAATCCTTCTAATTCAGCCTGCTGAGTAGCTGGAAACATAGTGTGTACCACCACGTGTGGCTCAGCTTTGATTTTAGCCTACCTATATTGAAAGCAGTTCTCTTACAACCTGTGCTTTTAACCAAAGGCTTACTATTGCTACAGTATAATTGTACCTAGCAATTACTGAGCACTCCTTAGATACTAAAATCTGTGAAGTGCACTGTAAAAGCAGTATCTTAGTTAAGGTAACAGTGACACTTTGAGAAATATAAAATAGTCAAGATTTTATGCATCACAAAATTGAACTTAAGAGAGATTACACAAATTGCAAAGATCATGTAGTTAAGAGACTGTTGACTCAAAATCCAGATCAATGACACACCAAAGTTTCTTTTAAGAACGTTATATTATACCCAGGTACCTGACTACTCTTCTCATAACTAAGATCACAGTGTTTGAGATACTTTTCACAGTTCTCACAGAAGCTTCATAAGAAATTATTTAATGAATGAATATTTGTTGAATAATTGACTATGTAATTTTTCCTTATAAAATTATTATAATTCTTAGAGCAATTCTACTTTAATCATACTCTCTTCCTTCACTACAATGTGATAAGCAGACAGTGATAGATGAGTTCTACTCAGACCTCAGAATAATAGAATGTTGAAAAGAATGTAGATGGTAAAGCCAGGTTCATGAGATTTCAGAAAGAAACTCCATCATAACATGGCCTATGGGCCATGCATGTTACACTCTGTCAGTGAATTTGTGTACATTTTTCCCACGTCCTGAGACTTTTCAGAAAGCCAGGTTTAGTGGCTATGAACTAATTGACCTGACAGGGAAATGTCAAGTCAGGAAAACCTTCACACTGTAACATGTGTACTATTGCCTGCTTTTAGGTAGATTTATAAGAAGAGTCATGAGTAAAAACCAGAAGAATATTTGATATTTTTAAATTTTTATTCAAAAAGAACCATAGCTAAATATGAAGGCATTTGAAGTGTTATTGCTAAAGAACTTAGAAGATCCATATATCTCAATCAGTACTAATATCAAAGCAAAAATGGATCTAAGACTTAGATATAAAAATAGAAAACTGCTGAATGATAACATATGGGAAACATTTGAAGACATAAGCACAGGCAAGGATTTCCTAAACACAACTCTAATAATGCAGGAAACAGTATCACAAATGGAATTACATAAAATTAGAAAGTTTCTGTGTGGAAAATGTAACAACCTGCAATATTAAAAGACACTCTACAAAATAAGAAAAGTAGTTCCTCTGACAGAAGAATAATAATTATAATATATAAAGAACTAAAAATTAAACATCTTGAAATGAATGACCCAATTAAAACATGGGCTAATCATCTGAAAAGATACTTGTCAAAAAAGTATAAATGTCTAGTAATATTGAGATATTAATGTCTGAGTAATATTGAGATAATAATGTCTGAGAAATATTTTCCCTTCTTAGACATTAGAGGAATGCAAAAGGAATAATACCTCTGAGTTTCCATCTGAACCCAGTCAGAACGGCTGTGAAGGAAACAAAATCATGGAACACTTATGAGGATACAGAGAAAAGGCAACCCCTCCACATGTTGGTGGAAATGTAAAGCAGTACAGGCAGTACAGAAATTGCTATAGAGGGCTGGGGATTTAGCTCAGCGGCAAAAGCGCCTGCCTGGCAAG